TGAAAATATAGTCAATAAAAAGACATAGAATCATACTTATAAAACATTTTGGAGTATTTCCTTCTTGTGTTTTTTAAATGTTAGTTTTATTTATTTATTTAAATGTTAGTTTTAAGTGTAAGTATATTTAGCTATAAATACTGTGTATTTTCTTCTTAAAAATTATTTATTTGACTCTTTGAATAGCTATTCCATGTGGTTCAAAAATCAAGGTATGGGCCTTATACAGTGAAATGTCTCCCTTAGGAAGTATGCACTCTTGTGTTTAGCCTTTCTAACATACAGTTAGTTTCCTTCTGCTGTTTTTATTGTTGTACTAGTATAATAAATATATTTCTATATGTAGTTGGTCTTATATCTTAGGTTTGAATATTTTCATACTTGGGAGAAAAAATTATGGATAACTCCCAAGGAGATTTGAATATATTTGTGATTTTCTTTACATAATGCCAAATTGCTTTTCTATAGGATTGTACCTATGTATATATTGTACAACAAGCAATGTATGTGTATGACAGTTTAATTTCTCTCTTGTTAGCATTTAGCATTATAAATTTATAAAAATAAACTTAAAGAAAACCTTTATTTAAAAAATCCTTACATATAAGGATTAATAATGTACCTCTGTGGTAGAGCACTTGCCTAGCATGTGAGAGGCCCTGAGTTCAACGCATGCTACTGCGAAACAAAAGAAAAGCTTTCACTTAATTGTTTTATTAACTTTTAAAATTCATTGGTGCTCCCTTCAATAGCTCAGCTGGTGTAATGGAGGAATGTAAAAATCATTGGGCTGGGAATGTAGCTCAGTAGTAGGGTACTTGCCTAGCATGCAAGAAGCCTGTTGTTTGATCCCCAGCACTACAAAACTAAATAAATAAAATAAAACAAAAATTACTATTCCAGTTTGTTTTCTCATATAATTAATCACTATTAACCTGTGCTCTATCTTATTTAAAATAGGATGTCGGGTAGTTTATATGCATACATTTAATTAGTGATATAATAAAATTATAGATGGGGAAAAAATGGGAAATGAAACCTGGTGTGGTGGTGTATGCCTATAATTCCAGTACTTAGGGATACTGAAGCAAGCAGATTACAAGTTTGAGTCCCACCTGGGCAACTCAGTGAGACGCTGTCTCAAAAAAAAAACAACCCATATTAACCAGGGATGTAGCTCAGTGGTGCAATGCCTGCCTGGCAAGCACAAGGCCCTGAGGTCGATTCCCGATGCAAAAAAACCCCCCATGAATGATATGGGCTGCGGATATAGCTCAGTAGTGGAAGATTCCTGGGTTTGATCTTTAGAACTGGGATTGGGAGGCAGGGGAAGGAAAATAAGGGTAGAAAATTAATGGAAGGAGAGAAATAACAAAAATTCATAACAGAAAGGCCTATACTTTTCTCTGAGTAGACAAATCAAGCTTCCAGATGCATCTCCTGCCAGTCTTCTTTCCACATTTCTAACCTGAGTGGTACCCATGAGGACAACTGTAAATTAGGCAGCAGACACTGTGTATGTGTCTGGGCTCAGTTGTTCAAAGGCGTAAGTTTGTGTCTCAGTTTTCCCCTTGTCAGGAATATGACCTTGGGAGTGTTATTTAACCTCTCTCAGCCTAATTTTTCTCCTCTAAAATGAGGGCAATGAGATTCATCTTACATAGTTTTAAAGGTTAAATTAGAATCTATGTAAACAAAAACCGTGGTACAGTGCTCAGAGTAAGAATTCTTTTGTTTCTGAATTTCTAATCCTGTCATTTTCTTTTATTAAATTCTTTTATTGGTACATTGTAGATATACAACACAATTACATTTCTCATTGGGAATTGTACCTTTACATAATGGATCTTGGTTCTTATTTTTTCCCCATTCCTAGCCCTCCCTTCACCCTCTCCATCCTTCCCTATTTACAAAGACTTTATTTCCATTTTTTCCACTTCTCAGCATTTTTCCTTTCCCTTCTTTCCTTTCCCCTGCCCCTC